GAGATCCCCTAGTGGCAGAAATGACATACTGTGCGCTTTAACATGTTTCATAATAAGTAAATCTGGCAAGATACTTTCTGCAGTTTGGGCCAACAAATAAATGGTGGAGGAAAAGGAGTTGACTGGTTGCTTTGTAAACTCAACCGTAGTTCAAAACTGAGCCGGAAAAAAAACAGGATTAACTGGAAGACAATCCAAGAACTCAAAAATATGAGAAAAAATGACAACAAGGAGGGAAATATTAAGAAAAGCCTTTATTGTAGTGGCTAAATCACATTTTAACCACCGTTGGTCTAAATCAGGGTTTTAAACAACAACAAATAAATAAAAAAATAAATGGCGGACCCTGCCTTCATTTGCAATTGACCACCATTAGTTTTTGTTGCAATGGTGAGTTTAAATGCCACATGATGACAAAAGTAAACAATATTGTGGGAAAACTTAACTTAAATGAGGATCTGCTGCTTTTATCAGTTTCATATAATTGTAAATTACATATTTTGGGGTTTTGGACTGTTGCTCAGACAAAACAAGGAATCTGAAGACGTAACTTTGGACTGTGGGAAACTGTAAAATGTATTTTCTTTTAACTATTTTATGACATTTTATAGTTAGCCATTATTGGATTAATCTACAAAGTCAAACCACAACTTGTTTCTATGCCATTAACACAAGCTCTTAACGTTCCAGTAAATAGGAAAAGTCAGTTACGTCAGGCGTTTCCCCTCCTGTGTTTCTGTATGTGAGTGAGTATGCGAGAGTTTAAGTAAGCGTTTAAACAATGAGCCGAAAGAATGTGAAGAGTGTTGGCTGGTTCCTGTCCAAACAGAGAAGTAGTTATAGTCAAGTTACAACCTCAGGGTCTGTGTTTGTGTCATTCATTAGAGTGGTCCTGGGAATTAAGAGTAATTTAGATCAGGAGACGTTCCCATGCTGCAGCTCCTCTCTGGGGATCTCTTAATAAAGTAATCAAATCCAAATAAAAATCTCACAGGAATCTCGACTTGGGAGCTCACTGTTCACTTTAAACCCAAAATGAAAAACAAGAGGAGGGCCGCTGCTACCTCCTCCACATCGGACCCAAATGAAAATGGATCTTTTTCTTTATAAATGCAAAAAAAAAGTGTCTTCTGCTGCTCTCGGTCTCTGTTTGAGAACTGAAACTTTAAGAACATGACTTCAAAAAAATGTCCTTTCCCTTCTCCAACACCGTGCGTAGAGGGGTCGTTAAAAACTGCCTCTCTGTGACACAGGTTGGCCTCCACCACCACCTGTTCATCCCTGAGATAACTGACATCTGTCTCAGTCTGATGAGGCAGACATTCAGTCAAAAGTCAGCACTTCCTGGACGCTCCACTGAAGCTTTGTACAGACCTGAGCCACGCAGGTCTCTGACAGCAGGCCCAAACACACGGCCATCAACGACAGGCGTCTACTGCTGTTCAGGATCACTGGAGAGGAGATGGGAGGGGAGAGAAAAGGATGACAAAATCAAGAACGCACACCCTTTTTCTATAGAAAGTCTTTGTTTTCATGCTGGTTAAAGAACGTCTGAAAAGTCTGGAGTCATACAGAGAATGTGCAAACCAAAAAAGTCTCAATATATCTTGTGAGAAGTCGAATTTTAACCTAACAAACCATCACCAACCACCTTCCTGACAACTGGCAGGTACAGTGGAGAAGTAACAAGACATTAAAGTGGCAATATGACAATAAATAGACACAAATCTAGCAAACTACAGCACTGAAAAGACTCAATACACTACTTCTTTATTAATATGTCGTACAGAAACTCATCAGAGCAGCAGACCGTAAATCACTCAATAACATCTCATTGTCTGCTGCTCACAGACTAGCTGCCAAACACAATGAGCACATTAATGCTTCCAGAGCTGCTGCTGCTGGAGAAATAATTATACAACGCAAGAAACGTGAACTTTAAACCTTTCAGTTATGTAATGTATTTATTTTCATTGTCTGGGCTCTGTGCATTCAGGAGCAGCAGGTCCAACAAAGAGAGGGTTAGTTGCCACCTGCTGGTGCTTTAAGATGTTGTTTGAGGACTGAAATAGAAGCACTTCACTCGTGTCTCACAGAGGCCTTTT